TTTAAATATTTTTATTTAAACAATAAAGTGATGAAGTTTAAGTGCTTAAAGCATTGTTTACAGTTGGTTACAATTGCACAAAAAATGTTGGGTATTGCCAACATGGCATGAAAACCAACTGGCCTGAACATTTAACATTGGATATATGAACATCTGAACCTTCACTCAGTTCAATTAAAAGAACCAAAAATGCTCTTTCTGTTTTCCTTACATGTGACAAACTGATTACCCAAATATACTCTTAACTTAGCTAAGCACTGTTTCACAATAAGTTTACGATCTGGTTGATTGCGCTCACTGAACTGTTAGCAAGTAACAGCCACATCTGTGTTCTCTGCTTGTCCCTCTTCCATTTCATCTTTATTATTTTCCTGTCCCTCAATATATTCTTGTCTGCATTCTTCATAGCTGCTTTGCCCCCCTTCTGACTTTTGCTTTTTCATCATTTTTGTCTTCCTCACCTTCATCCTAATCAAAACATTTAAAAGGAAATTGTGGAATTTCATATACATCCACCAGAAACATGCTCAAACACACACAATTTGCCTCTATTCCTTAAATAAATCTCTTTCAAAAACTGTAACTTCATAAAAACAGTATGAGGCATTTTAATCCTAAATGTATCCATTGCTCACCTGTGAAGTGTGCTCCCTCTGAAACAACTAAGGTCTCTGGCAACGGACTACTGTATCCTACAAAAGCAGGGTGCAGTGATAAAGAATAAGACTTCATTTTCAGCCTCAAAATTAGCCTCCCTTAATTAATGCCCACCTACAGAACATTAAGAAATCACTTACAAGCGATCTTTTGAAAAAGGTGTCAATCTTCTGCTGCCTTCCTTTTCTACATCTTAATACTGTGGCAAAAAGACAGTGGTAAAGGTAGCTAGGTCAGACAGGACTGTGAGACTGCTTAAAAAATAGCCTACTTGCGCTAGCATCATACTTTGTTAACAACGTAATACTAGCTGCTGAGGTGTATAGGATGGATATTAAGTATTTATTAGCAGATAGTCCATTGTGACAGCGAGTTTGGCTTCACTAATTTACTGTGATGCAGTGTTCTTCACATTTACTGCCTCACCTTCAGACTGCTCCATAACGTTTGTTTCTCTACACCGTCTCCTTAGCTGTCTCCAGTATGTTAATGCTAGCATAGCGATTTGTGTTTGCCTCTTCACCCGCTAACTGGTGGATTTGCTGTGATTGCCTGTAAGATCTGTCACTCAAACTAACTTGACCTATGTGTTTGCATGTGTGGGGTTGTTCATATGCTTTCACTGACGTTATCTTGTATACATTGGCTATTTACTTTCGTTACATCTCGCCAAAAAGTGTGGGGAATGAAATGTGTTTTTAGAAAAGGTGTGGGTGTTATATCCCCCACATCCCCCACTGCTGCAACGCACCTGTTGTAGGCCTCCTCTTTGGCATGACGGAGCCATTTGAGCTTCACTGTAAACCAAGGTTTATTATTATTGTATGTGCAAAGAGTCCTAATGGGCACACACGTCCTCACAAAAACTTATATAGATGTCACCGTGTCAGTATACTCATTCAAGTCTGTAGCTGCATCCTCAAAAACACCCCAGTCTGTACAGTCAAAGCAGGCCTGTAGCTTTGACTTTGCCTCTTGAGTCCATCTTTTCACCCTTTTGACCACAGGCTTTGCAGCTTTGAGTTTCTGCCTATAAGTGGGAATGAGGTGGATCATGCAGTTGTCTGAAAGCCCAAGAGCTGCACGGGGAACAGAGCGGTAGGCATCTTTGATTACTGTATAACAATGGTCCAGTGTGTTTTTGTCCCTGGTGGGACAGCTGACATGTTGTCTGTATTTGGGCAATTTGTGAGTAAGGTTTGCTCTGTTAAAATCACCTTAAATAATAAGCAAGTCTGGGTGTTTCTCTTCCATACTTA